CGGTACAATTTCTCTCCAGTACTACGCCAACAAACTGCAAGAGGGAATTCAGCGGCGAAAGTGTGTTTGAGTACAGGGTATTTCACTGTCGGACTTGCTCGACTGTAGCATTTTCTCTTGTTGAATTTGTATAGGTTTGGACTATATGGCGATCCATATGTATACCTATAACATAACATATACATATGTATATACTTATATGAACAGCATATAGAGACGAATGAAAATCACGTATTGTCTATTTTATTTATTACTCCTTCCCAAGTCATACAACCATTATGTAAACTATTCTAATCCCTAGATTAGCTAGAATGTGAGTAACACACAGAAAAAGGCGTGGCAGATATACATTCTTGTGTCATCTGTCACTCTGGATGAACGCAAGTATACTGGCTAGTATAAGAGCTAAAATAATTAAACGTGGTATTCATATTCTTTTAAGCCCTAGGCAGATCAAGTAAGACTTGTTTTCCCAATGCACCCTTTCCACAACTTCCGTAATTCTTTACTTAAATTTGACAATTACATCCGGTTAGAGCTTATGTAAAGTCTTATCTTATTAAATTGAGTTAAATATTTGTTATTTTCTTCATTTCATTTCGTAGTGCCCGTTCGACTCTAGCATTCCATTTTAGTTTTATACACCTGCCATACGGACGATTCGTGAAGCAAATTTTATGAACTTTAGGTCTGTCTAAGTTTATAACTTAGGTTTGTGCGAGCTGAAAATTGTAACAGAAATGTAACAGCAGAAGGAGGCGTGGCAGGCCCCACAAAGTATATATATTCTTGATCAGTGTGACCAAACGAGTCGATCTGTCTGCCATATGCCTAAAGTCATTTTGTAAACTTAAAGCATTAGGAGCCACTCCCATCTAAGACTCCTGTTAATTATTCATTAAAAATATTAGGCACACTTAAGACTCCTGTTAATTATTCATTAAAATTATTAAGCACACTTAATAAAACATATTTGGATAAGTGCATGCTTTTTGAATTATGAGTATTATGCGGACACTAAGCAAATATCAAAGACTACAGCATCAGGAAAAGGGACAAAAAATTGGTTTTCCTAGGGGTTGGGGGCTCTTATAGACGGCTATATCGATTGGTCTTGTCATACTGATGAAAAACAAATCCACTTATGGGGGTCTACCCATTTACCCATTCAATGCAGGGTATAATAATACTTGTAATATATATAATAATACAAATACATATAACTTTACGTATGTACATACGCTTGTGCACATTTTATTTGCATACCTTTCAACCGCGTATGTTGTATGTCTGTTTACAGTGTAGATTACAACAATAACAGCAGAGCATGGACAGAGGCTACATCAGAAGGGGGGTGCATTGCAATAAAAACATAAACTGTCCCGGACTTAGGAGGCCATGTATACCAAGTTACATGCCTCCACATTCGGAGATTCTTGCGGAGAATGATTAATAAATTAGTACGCGTAATAGTCTGATTTGTGGGTGTTTCAAAAACTGACGATTTTATAATATAACTTCACATATCAATAGGAATAGAATTTACTACACTTAATTCATTTCCAATGCCCTAGGCGGGCATCTGTTACTTTTGAGGTTCACCTAAGAAAGTAATTCCTTTTATTGTTGTCTCACCAAAAGCCATGTTTACAAGAATACTTACGAACCATAACGTAAACAAGGGTTGTGCTCCGTTTACGAGACTGATCCTACAATAATCTACATAAGTTGACTCAACTTAATACACAACTATCGGAACTTTGAGGAATATTCTTACTTAGTTTATGTTTGTTGCGAAACTATTATTTTTGTATTTTATGGGTTTCACGGAGCTGCTAGGCGACCGTCTCTAACAGCCAGGCAACAAATCGCGCAGTCGTCGTGTATATGCGCCCTTTTATCCAAAAAGTATGCCAAACTCGGTTTCAGTAAGCAATTATACCCGTAGTGACTGCCACAGTTACTGTTACTGTTCATGACAGTAGGTGCATGGAAATTCCCATGTGTCCTTGTTTACAACGTTGCCGCGCATACTAATTGCCTGTTTAAGGTCGCACAGGCAGCAGGGACGTTGGCGGTTTGAATTTGGGTTGCCATTACACAATTAATTTGCACTCTGTGCTTTGATTACAAAACCGCAAAATGTGTGCAAACTGACAATTACCATAAGGGTTAACGGAATGAGAGGCAGAGCAGATGGATTTCCCTTTGTCGAGAGCACTGGCATAAATTATAAAAACTTCCCGAATTACACGTCCCACTGACAAAGAGAAGAAATGGCAACTGTCTGCCACGCTCCATTGCAATACGGGTCACCTGGTTCATTAAAGCGTGACCAGGACCGTCAGGACATATGCATGTTCAAAGTGCTCTTTGCCTCTACAATGCTTAAAAACAAATTTTGCGAACTCACTAACACACGGTATGGAGATTTACTGCCACAGCGCATCCTGTATCCATTTAGCACACTTATTATTTATATATTACAACAAATACAACATCAACCTCCATATCAACATTGCTTTTTATCCAATATGGTAGTATCAAATTATACGAAAGCTGGGAAAGCCATAATAAAAATCTAACAAACTAAACTCCGGAACGTTATCACAGGCAAAGGTGATCAGAGGACTATACTAATTAAATGGATCCATATAACTTTCTTCTAAATCATTTATAACTTTTGTTGCATTGCTACATTTTTATTCAAATCCATTCTAAAAACTAATATATATTTTAAATGATCTTGAATTACTTCAACTATGATACTTATCACAGTGGAACTGAATTTTCATTTCATTTAAAATATCGTTCTTCTAAAGCAACATAATCTAGTCTTAGCTTATCTTGTCAGTCATCCTCTTCATCTGACGAGTCTTGTGGGGTATATTATATATATATATGTATATATTATTGATTTGTAAAGACGGAGACTGCCAGAGGGCAACAACTTCTATGCTTTTTATACTTTGTATCCAAAAGATACAAGTAGAAGAGTATATTAAGTTTGTGCAATTATTTTGCCGTTATTTCCGACAGCGACTGGACAAGAAGGGATCAGGACTCTCCATGGCTGTGTTCAAAAAATCCCTATAATTTAATAGGCATTTCTTTGCATGAACCCTTCTACCGCTCTTATATAATTTAAATTACGATTCGGATGCATGTTCAATTATTTCGTGAGCATGGACCACAGTGTAAGGCAATGGATACCAAGGATTATTGTTCTGATATGACTTAATAGTATTAGCATAGACAGCTTTAAACTTCCCCTAGTTTCTTTTTCGAGTTTCGTAATCTATAATTAATATCGATGAAAAGAATTCTACACTTGAAAATGCTCTTTAGGCCATATTTTCGTCATTTATTTTTCTTTTTTTACCAAGAACTAGCGTTCTCAAGCAATTTTTTGGCGTACAGCATTATTTATAGAATTAAAGTACCATCAATTTGAACAATCATGTTAAAAGCAAACTATTTTGAGTGTTTTTTTTTAATTTCTCCAACATTTATCTATAAATTAGCATATGCCTTCCTTTATAATTGACAAAGGCTTTGGCTTTATGCAAAACCAACAGAGTATGATTTTTATCTAAAGTATCATCTTCCGACCGATGTTTATGTTCCAAATATTAACAAGCTTTGCGTGACCAATAATGAATTTTTCTGCAATAAGCGTGATTTTTTCAAAATGATGCTAGTTGGGGCTAAAAAATGTCCTTACCTAATAATTTAAACCCCTTGACCCTTGTTACGGTCAATCTAAAATTACACGTATGCAAAACACAACACAGAAGCACATAACAATGACCGATGTGTTATCAAACTATAATTTTATAAACCTGTACTTACCAAGTTTACAAATATTTCACGCCATAATAATCGACTGACTTTAACTGCGTGCCAACATGCCAGTACACTAGAACGGCGAATTGAGCTGCATTTTACTACTTTAGGCAGAACAATATTTATTTATTTATATTTATGTTAATAAACATTGACTGGCCAAATGATTGGCCAAAATACAAAAATTACAAAAAGCATCTTGTAAGCTAGAAAAGCCTAAGTAGGAGAAATCTAATCAAATTACAATAATATCTAATTAACGCCTCCGACCCGGTGGGGGAATATTATTTGCCTTTCGACTAGCTGTGCCCCGTCTCACAGCCAAGTGTGGCCAGAGGCGTCAATAGATCCACCGGTATAAAAACAAGAAAGGAATACTAAAGTCGAGCAGGCTCAACTCTTAAATACCCTGTACCACCTCACAAAAAAAGAAATTAAATTAATTATTTAATCGGGAAAAATGAACAAACTCGTCCTTTCTCGGGCTCAGGAGAATCTGTAGTTTGGTTATTCTAGCTCTTCTACTTTCTGAGATCCTTGCGTTCATACAGACAGACGGACATGGCTATATCGACTCGACTTGTCATGCTGATCAAGAATATAGATACTTTTTGGGGTCTGCCACGCCTCCTTCTGTGTGTTCCATGTACACTCGCAGAAAGCTAATATACCCTTGTACCCTTTGGGTAGAGGGTATAAAAAGAAAATCTTAACAGAGAGAAGAGCAAGTGGAATTAAATCAGTTAAGACATCTTTCTGTTACTGCTGTTTTATATTTCAATAAGAACTAATAAGTAGAAGATTAAATTAGAAATGTATTTAGATAACATTTTATAATATGTGTCGATCTAAATATTTCATCACTCGCGTACTACTTTTAAAGTAGCCTAAGACTTGTAACGATGGTTATAAGTGAAATGTTAAACACCTAGTAAAATACAATAATAACTCTAAGACAATGGAGGTTTTGTAGTTTCAGTCTTCGTCTTCGCAAGCAATATGAACACATTGGAGCGAATTTGCTTGTGCACAGTTTTTCATCTTCAGCTTCGTCTCAGCATTTACTGTTTGTACCCTTAGTCTAGCTAATGAGCATTTTTAATCTTTTTTTCTACATTTCATTAATTTGCTTTTGCGAGATCTGTCAGTACATTTCTTGTTCAATATTGCAACAAATCAATAAGGTTTAGTTCGAATCTGTACCTTCAAACTTCTACAAGATGCAGAATTCTGAGGAAGCGGTGCTTGAACAAGAACCGCAACCTGAGCTATCGATGATAGCGGTGCCCATAGCTATAGCTAATACAGAGGTAAGGCTGATTGCCCATTATGTACCGTTTATAAAATACAAGCTTTTGTCACAAAGAATGAAGACAGTGTCCAGCAATATGGCAGTGGACAGACAGTGTTTAAGAAGATATTCAAGAACCGCAAGAAGGCATCAATCAGAATTCGCAACAAGAAGCGACGACTGAACCGTCAGATGCGCAAATCAATTAAACCCAAGAATGCTCTTCAAGCACTCAATGAGATCAAGAACTTAACCCAAAGTGATTTTACCGTAAACAATAATGTCGAAGGGGGTTACACAGCCAGTGTTACTGTCAATTCCAACCAGTACGAGGGTAAGGGAAATTCGAAAACCTCTGCCAAAATTTCCGCATGTGAGAAAGCCTTCCGTGACTACATAATCTCGAAGATTACGTCCCAACCCAAGAGCGCGCCGACCACACCACAACCCAAGGACACAAGCGACGAAGAAATGGCCAATGTAATTACCGAAAATGCAGAAGAGGAATGTTTCATGATAAACTTGGCATCCTATGCCATTTTTAAATTGTATTCTGGATGGCAGCGAGAGGGATTTACTGTACCCGAATTGCCTTCTTCTACCCATTTAGACAATTGTCAGCCTGGTGAACAAAACGCAGGCTCAATGCAGGATTTGCGCTCTCAACTACGCTTCAACTGGGAAACCACAGAACCAGTCAAATTATTGTGGGGTATGCGTCCGGACATATCAAACCCTCATTATTATCGCTCTGATGACAACCAAAACGTGTTCTGGCGTGTCGTGATCGTTGTGGATGATCAGGAGTATACGGCTTTGGGACGCTCCAAGAAGATAGCACGTCGCAACGTGGCCATAACTGTTTGCAACCGATTGTTTGGCACACATTTCCCAAAAGTCGAGATCTAGGAGGGGACGAGCAAAGATAGTGAAGCCTAAACTTTACACTTAGATATCAAACACGCCAAACGTACTCTCATTTATGCCAATATCATACGAGTATATAAAAAATCATCTTATGTAATAATTTAGGTACACAAAACTGTGCTGATTGTACATATACTGCATATATAGTGTGTATGTATCCCAACCAAAAATTGGTGCCAATTAAAACCAGAACAATTCACTTTTAATTCATTTTATGGTTTTCTCTCAAATGAAGAAATCCTTTGTATGCAATCGAATAAGCTCTAAATTTAATGATGTGCTCACATTTATTGTAGCATATTTATACCCTGTACCCAAAAGGGTAAAAGGGTATACTAGTTTATTGCGAGTGTATGTAACACATAGAAGAAGACGTGGCAGACGCCTAAAAGTATATACACTTAATTCTGTTTTTACATGGTCGATTTATTTTGAATCGTACTAAATGGAATAAAGTCATGCAACCATATATAACATTTGTAATTTTCAAACCGTGTAAAAACAGAATTAGGTGTACACCTAATTGGTAGATTGGTTCCAGAAACAAGCGTATGAAAAAAGACATTGTGTATTGAGCGGAGCAGGATTGTTGGGAGGATAATAATACGCGACAAAGTTTTGTGGATGAATGAACAACGTCGATAGCTCGACTGCTTTATTTATATATAAATTCTTATCCTAGTTCTTATGCTATCGCCTACATACTATCATCGATTCCTTATCTTCTACCATGTGTGCGTACTTTATCAGGTAGCTCATGTTAGCCAGCCGCAGCATGCTCATCCAGCGCGGTGGCGAGCCTGAGCTAATGATTTGTGTACTTACACATCCTTATCTATTAAGCTGGCGCCTGCCAGCTACGAAAATGTTGGTGTTATGTTCGGCATCTAAGGCCGAACTCATTATTATCTGTATAAGAGAGCATGTCTGTTTATCGAGGTTTTATCTATAACAATATGATAATGTACCATTCGTGGTCTAGACAGAGCAAATCTAGCTTATCAATTAATTTACATTTACTTAGGATCTCGTTAGAATTGAACACATTGATCATATGCAAAAATAAGTGATTGGTTCCTTATCTCTAAGGAAATATATATGAAATTTTTAATTTTCAAACCGTGTTACTTGTATATTAAAATCGTGTAAAAAAAGACCGTGTTAAAACAGAATTAGGTCTACCAATGTATATTCTTTATCAGTATGACAGGACGAGTCGATCTAACCCATCTCACTCTCCCTACAGAATTTTGCCAATGCTGTCCACAATTCCAGAGCCACAAAAACTAACTTTGCATACGCCACAATTGAATAACTCACTGATGTTGTTTTAAATCTGAAATCAAATCGGTCAACAACTCTTCTTCTGCTTTCTTTTTGCTTCTGGCATGCTCGTATATGATATTCTTGGCTGCTATAGGATGTAGTGTTTTAATCTGATTGTAGGAAATGATCTGCAAAGTTTCAGCTCAATATCCTTAAAACCTAGAGACAATTTTGCATAGAAGCATATAATGATGAAGGGCGAACAGACGGACATCGATTCATCTCGATTCAAACGCAATATACCCTTTTCAAGGGAACAAAGAGTCAGATACAACAAAGACAATTATGCATATAGTACTTGTATATGTTAAGGCATTCCTTCTCTTATTGGTTGAATTGTCGAGTCCTCCGTCACTATAAGGCCTCACTAGCCATCACGTAGACATTGTAAAAATGCAACAAAGTGCGCAAACGACGCTCATGGCGTCCAATGAGCACAAGGGCCAAGTATGCGTAAATTAAATTTTCAGGGATGGCATTGTTGGGGAGGAGGAGAGGGAGCGCGTGAAAGGAGTAGGCAGATCAAACGGCAACATTGATGTGCAGAGTGAAGAGGAACAAGTGCAGTTGAAAAGGGACACAAAAAGACATTTCAATTAAGTTTAGATGATGGCATCTTACACCTAAAGTGTTGACGATGATGCAGCAGGACTCAAGGACCAACACAGATGGTTGCAGCCAGTAGGGCAGAGGCGGGCGTGTAAGAAGTACAAAACCAGTCAAGCGGCAACTTTGATGAGCGTAAATGAAAACAATTATATGGCACACAGATCTGAACTTTTCTCAAAAGTTAAACTCACTTAATTGAATTGAATGGCAGCGGGCCAACATGGCAACAACAGCAATAGGAGGAAGGGCGACAAAGTGCAGTCGAGTGAAAAGCAAGTTACTAAAGTCTCTTCTTGTTATTGTTGCTCTATTTGTTGGCATTGGTATTGTGCTTTGTGCAATGCCAGAAAATCGAAAACAGCTATTCCAAATTATTGGAGTGTGAGGCCGGCGTTTTAGCGTGTCAAAATGAAATAACCTTAAATCAATTTTGTCGACCATCTAAAAGCACGTCATTAGAAAGAAAGCAATGGTAAGAAGTATTACGATTGATATTTAGAGTTTGGCATGGGCTGTCAAAATAGTATAGAGTATAAATAACAATTTTGTACTAAAAAAATTTGGAAATTCACAACATTAAAAAAAAGAATGGAATGGAGTTATTAGAAGATATTATTGATAACATTATTAAACGCAAATAAGTTTTACACAGCAGTACACAAATATTCTAAAGCATCAGCAATGGCTTAACATGAACAGTTATTACATTTATGGCTCTGAGATCTCATCTCATCAAAAATAATAAAAAACAAAAATTCTGGCGAAAAAAGCGCTGGAATCTTCAGTTCGAAAATGGGGAAATATTTGGGCTCAAGCCATAACTCAGAATTAAAGTAATTAAAACTAAATGTGCAAATAATGGTAATAAGAATACGGCGACAGACTTAAGGGAAACTTCAGTTAATATGGCGGAATGAAACTAAGGAACTTAAAGTAGATTCTGCGAATAGTAAACTCTCAATTGAATAAGCCTTTGAGTTCGTGAATAGTTCGAAACAAACCTCGAAACTCGTAACTAATTTGATTGAACTTTCACATGATATCTGTAAAAGACCTTTACTGTATATCTTTTCCCATCGAGAACGACTTCCGCGGCAAACCCTACACATTCACATTTTCAATATTAACACGCCTGCTTGTTAAGCTAATATACTGAGCAGAAAATGTAACATGCTCGTTAAACACAGGACTTCGATTATTGATAGTAATGCGTGAAATAGTGCGTGCAAATGGCCTACGACAACAGGGCGTATGCGCACTACCGCGGACCATTGGCTTTTGCTTAGTTTTCCAGTGTGCCCAATCGAGAACTAGTTGGCTACACAAATAAATATGTGCGATGTGGACAGTTTAAAGACGAAACGGCGACAAATGCCGTATTCGAAAACTTCTTCCATCCGACAAACTTCTAAGTTTGGCAACAGACGAAACTGGCACATCGAAGGCTACAGGTAGCTCTTCCTGATATTGCACTAGTACGCACACACTCACGTACATACACAAGTTTTGGCAGCCACAAAAAGTCGAGTCAAGTCAAGTCGAGTCGAGTCGAGTGCGCGGCGCCTCGTGCCACGCATAGAAATTCAGTTGCTGTTGCCCCATTGTAGTCGTTGTTGCTTTAACTGATGCGGTTGTTGTTGCCACAAAATGCTTGGCGCACCGCATACAACACAACAACACTTCAGTTCAAGTGACTCCTCGAGACTTTTTGAGACCACGGCGACAATGGAGGCCACAGAAGTGTCGGAGAAGGTGAAGGCGAAGGCGTTCGCAAGCTGCGTGACCGGAAAGTGTTTGGAAGACGGAAGTACGCTGTGTAGACTCTGGGGACATTACCTACATACCCGTATAGTACACAGCTATAAGTGAAAAGAAACACCCACAAAAAATAGCAACAATATCAAGAGCGTATACTTGTAGGAAAAATGTGCTGCCTGCGCAAAATTTGAAACGCTTTATGTGCGTGGTTTGGCAGCTTTGACCGCATTTCGGGCCTGTCCAATGGCCACAAATGTCACGTTTCGGGCATTAAATGTGTTAAAATGCTGAAACGTTTTACACAGACATAAGTACTCACACAGCCAGAGACGCATACTCAAGCAAACAAACAAAGCACTGGACTGTTCCGACCTTTTCGCCCCAATTCAATATCTGGTCATGCAAATTTCAGGTTGGAGAACACCGCCTAAGCTGCTACGCTCGAAATTTACCTTTATATTAAGTTTATAAAAAAGGAAACTGCTGCACTGTCGTCGGGCAAGAGAGAAAAAAAGAAAAAAGCTCAAAAAAGTCGAGTTAATTGCTTTTGCATGAAAAGCACCCGCTTAGGAAGCAAAAGGCAAGAAGCATCTGCCACTTGGCTTTGTCGTCTCCTCGGAGGAAGAAAGAACACCCACACGCATCGAACAAAAAATAACTTAAAGCTCAGTCAGGTTTCACTTGAATTGGCGTTCAATTGAGCGTAAAAATATTTCCAATGGCTAAATAGTGGGCGGGCGTCCGTGAAAATGGACTTTCAGACGAACCGAACCATATTTTTAAAAGGAGAAAACAATGGATCTCTAACTACACCGTGCACCCCAATCCCATCCAGATTGCAATTTAACAAATTTTCATTACAATCGGATGGAAAGAAGCTATGTTTGTGCTATAGGTACTATACGGTTCAATTTATGAATCAAGTTTATGGTGATAATTAAATGAATACAACAATTAGCTGTCTTATAAATATGAAGCGCACGTTTGTGTATAAGTATGTACATACATATGTATGTGCGTGAATCTAATATTCTGGGCAAGGAGCAACCCAAAAGAGAATTTTGAATCGGGCTTTGCTGTTCATTAAGTAATTAATGCAGTCTTATTGAAAGCTGTATAATTGGACAACCATTGTTGGTCGACTACCCAACAACTAAGTTCTTTTGATAATATTGCGTTGTTAGCAATTAAGCAATTAGGAAATCGGTGAATGTTATTTTTTGATCGGACGGAAATCAAGATAAATGGCATTGTTAGTTTTCGTGACCTTATCATGTATTCCTGCGGAATTAGCGGCCGTTTAACTATTTGAGCAGGTGGCAGGAGCTACTTACAAGTAGAACACAAAATCATTAAGCACCAACAAATCAATTAGGACAAACAACTTTATACTAATATGTTATATAGATACATATGTCCGACCACATTTATGTTAATTATATTATTAAGTGAAAATGATTTGTGTGTAATATTTGTTAGCACTTTAGCTAAAGAGCTTCAGACCTTATGGCAA